ATAACTCGCTGCTCGTCGCTGAAGAACTCTAGTCACACGGCGGCAAATCCACTTCATTCCAAAAGCATCGTCTTACTGTCCGTTTTAGTGACGCTCTGATGAAGCCCTGAACCAGTGCTGTAACGGATCTCTGGAAAAAATCTCCGCTGGAGCATAATTCAGCACATCAGTAAGGAGAGCAGAGCACAAATCTGACAAATTCCATGGATGTCAGTCAGCCTAAAAATTGGAAATAATAGCACTTTTAAAGCTACTGTTGGAACATAACGACCAATTACGTCAACCTTGTTATTTGATTAAATACTGAGAAACTAAGAAGAAAAACTTGAAATCTGGCAGTAGGATTTTGAAGTAGAAATGATTTTATGGATTCTATTGTAAGCAATTCCCTACTAGTTCATAGCCAGCAGAATTAGAAAATAACTATCTGAGTAATATAACCACAACGTTGCTGAGATATTTGCAAAACTCTGGGCCGCAGGTGTCTATGGTGGGGAACAAACACGCTATTGTCCAATAGAACTAGCTGAGAGACAGGCGAAACAAAGGGCCCGCATGGTGTGGTGGTGAACGCGTTGCTCTCCGGAAAGGACAATAGCGCGTTCGTTCCCCACCATAGACACCTGCGGTCCAGAGTTTTGCAAATATCTCAGCAACGTTGTGGTTGTATTTCCCTTAGTACCCTGCCGTGAAAATTGTAGTAGGCAGAAAATAAAAAGCTAAATAATACCTGAGTAATAATTTTAGTTGACCTGACTATACTTGGCATACAATTACAACCTCCACAAAAACCATATGAGGTCAAATAATTGTCATTCACTTAAAACAGTGGAATTAGTGACTTCTTCAGTGTTAGTAAAGGATAAGGTTAAAGCTGTCGGCGTTGCGGATGCGCCATGCATTCTACTTCATTAGGCATCGTTTGGAGGTGACTGAATGCATATATGGCCTTTACAATGACTCGCGGTGGCCTACCAGTGTATCGAGCCAGTGCTACTATCCTCTCAGACAAGTTTGGTACTAATTTTTCGACCCCGGAGGGATAGAAGGCTTGGTGTGCAATGGGTTGGGGATCGATTCTACGTGTGTGTTACAGGGACCCTCCGACCACTGAGCCACACGCGCCCATGACCTCTGTCATTGTTATTAATGCAAAACGATGTTTTTCTACAATTGCAAAAATCCTACGAATAACCAGCATAGAATTTTCTATTTCTAGCTTTTAAAATTCGAAATTGATCAAAACAACCGTTAAAATCGATTATTTTATCTATAGTCACATGTACGGACGCATGGATGCAAGCTAATGATGCGAAGTATTGCTTAATTAATTTTGATCTTCACTTCAAGTTCAAGTTAGCTGAGTTCAGCGGCAATTTCTGCTTCCTAGATTACATCCGTTGACGGGTGATTGCTGATATTATCGAAGAAGTAAAAAACTAACTGAGAAATCTAAAGCAAGGTCCTTGATTGGTGCAGTGGATAGCGCTTAACCATGCGGAAACGGTTATCAGTAGTTCGATGCCTGTAAGGATTTTAGCTTATTTTTCCGCAAATTTCAGCATCCCATGCATTTAAACAAAATCAGTGCTAGTAATATTTGCCACTCTAATCGCCACACGTGATTTATCGCTTACTATCTACTATGAAGTTTCTGTGATGATAAACTTGTATTATAGAACTTGTTATTCTCCTTTTGAAACATTTCTCAATTTTTTCTCACATATCTGCTTGTTATCGGCGTTATTCGTGCTGCATCGAATTTTTGTTCACTTCGTTTGTTGCTGATGATTGTGTTGTTACTTAAAAACCGGCTTTTATCAAACCTCGGTAACAATGACCACTTTTTATATGATTGCATATGAAAGAGCTAACACGTGGTCGGTATCAAAGTCCTGTTCGGTTAATGTTTCGGTTCCTTTCCCCTTACCAGAGCCACGTTGATCTGAGTCTATGGTCTACAGCTGCTCGTTATCGAGAAGTGGGTCAGTGTTGTCGCATCGAGTCGAATCCAATGGTGTGGGAGCGTTGCTCGAATGCGGAACTTCAGTCGGGGGTGCCCTTCTACACAGGACAGATTTTGGCCGAGTTCCGCCAACCAACATGATGAGGAGGGCGAAAGCGCCAAAACGTCAGCCGAATAAAGGTTTTCATACCAAACTCGTGTAGGAAATTGTTGAATTTTGTTACAGAGGTTTAATGAAAGTCGTTTTTAAGGTATTGTTTGTCACCCTTTGCAAATGGAGTACCGACTGCTACAGGACGCATTGACCGCCAAATTGGAGAACGCGCTGGATGTCGGGAATAGACCGTGATCCGTCCTGTATAAAAGGGTACTGCCAAGTGATGTTCCCCATTCGTGCGGTGCTCTTACTCTTACTTTGGATTCGTCTGAGTTGTGATGTTACTGTTACTGGCCCCATTGTTGTGCTCGTTATTGTTTTTGATGAAGTTTTGCTGTTGCTATTGTTATCGGTGTTATTGCTGTTGCCATTGATACTGTTGCGGAGGCTTTTTTAAATCGTACCTTGAGAATCGTTGTGGTAAATGTTATTCTTCTTTTCAGGTGTCACTTGTTATTTTTTCGATGTTTTACGAGAATACTTGAAAAAAAGCCTTCATATATGGCAAATCGTTGATGTTCTCTGTTTATTCACTTCCTACCTTCTTGAACGGTGTAAATTATCACTATTCGTAGGATCATAGCGCAAGAGAAGAGCAGTACATTTCGATAAGATGGTTTAGCTGTAGGTTTTCATAAGTAGTGTCTTCTTGTGATTAGACTAACAATATCAACTCGACTCCTTGTTTTCCTACTATCACCAGTGCCGTGTTTTGTTTGCTATCGCAATCAAACATGACCGATCTGAGACCTAAGTCATATTTGATGTTGCTCATCGTAAGGTCTACATTTACATTGCCAGCATATGTCTGTTATTTGAAGCGCTATCACTGTATTGATTAATATCTGTGGATTGATGTCTATTCATTGCTTTACATGATATCAGGTATGTGAACCCCAGCCAGTAGCTTGAGACTTCAATTGATAAGCACAAGTTTGTTTAACATCTCATATCTAAGTAGCTATTCGAACAATATAACCACTTTTGAAACAACAACTGAATGAGTGAGGAAAAGATAATCTTCACAATCATTCTTTTTTCTTACTTCTGTTTGAGATTATTAGTAAATTGTTTCTATTCATCATAATGACTTCTGAGTTTAATAGCTTTTTGAATACTTCTAATACCATCTTCTCAGACTTTTTTCTTACTCTGTTTCCATCCAGTTACTTTTCCTCCGCAAAGGTTTGACGTGTCATCGTAATTGAACGCGCTGCTTTGGTTGTCAAGTTGCGACGTAAAGCGAGTGCTTTACTGCGGTTCCATATGCAATTCGATCCAAATGTGCCATACTTCGTTCTGATCCGCAATGACCAGTAAATCACCTGAGAGCGGCCCGTGGGAATCCGATTACTTAGATTTCTCAGGACACCAGTAAAAAGAGCTTCTCAAATCAATAATATGCCAATTGCATAGAAATTGTGCCAGTACCGATAAGACGTTTCTTGATGATGGACCATACAAGTATTCAGGTAAGTACAGATTATTTTTAAACCACCTCAGAGTTGAGGCTTTTGTTGCAATTTAATTGTGCTCCCGTTTAAAGCAGTTGTAGAAGAAAATTTTTTGCAGAATAAGTACAACACGCATTCGGTGCGTTTTCCTGTTTTCCTAGCAAATTTCGTTTTCCATGACCAATAAATGCTTTTTCTAAAAATGTTTTCGTTTATTTCTTTCATTCCGAAGGAACAGATTTTTTTCTTATCTGACTGCAACGAATTGTTCACGTTATGATCAAGTGGGGCGCGTGTGGCGCAGTGGTTGGAGGCGCCCTGAAACACACATGGAATCGATCCCCGCGCTCATGGCCCACCAAGCCTTCCATTCCTCCGGAGTAGACAAATTGGTACCAAACTTGTCTCAGAGCATAGCATCATTGTTTTGATAAATCGGTGGGCCATCGCGAGTCATTGTAAAGGCCAAATATTCATTCAATCGCCTCCATCGATGTTCAATGAAGTCGAATCGATGGCGCATCTTTCTTGGATTAATCAACGCCAAGAGATTTATTCTTTATCCTTTATATGATCAAATAGTCAGCACTAACCAGTCTCAACTACTTACTCAACAAAAAAGATGTGAATCTCTTTTGAATTGATGGATTGAATCATAGAAGGTTGACATAAAATTCAGAGAATCGATTGCTGAATGATCCAGGAAAGTATTTCATATCGCGGAATGTTGTGTACACGATATTATCAGTTCTGAATCGATTTGACAACTTTAAACATTTCAATATCGACAGCTGATAGTTTTATTATATTTTTTCCTGATAATTAACTTGATTAAAAGAGAGATATTTAAATAAACTTTCCTAGAGAAAGAACAATGGTAGAAGAAATTGGAAAATTATGCGGAGGCAGAAAAAAAGAAGAAAAGATGATTTTAACGATAATGAAATTTCTCAAAAATGAAAATGCCGGCGCAAAATAGGATAATACTGATCCACTATGATACATTTTCAAAGTCGTTCTAGAGTTAGGTTTCTGGCCGTCTTATGACAACATTTTACATTTTTCGAAAGCATTTTGTGCTTATTTCCGGATCTTCTTGGATTTTAACCTAAACGATCACAGCAATTCGTACTATGTCAGAATTTCTGTTTTTCTAAACACTAAGTTTATAAGCTTTTCAGAGTTTTACTAACCTAGAGCCTATTAAAAGCCACTGATAGCTTGCTTATCATTGCGAAAACCTGTTATATACAAAATGATGTGATCAATTTGACACTCTTCGAGTTTTAGTGCAATATTATTTCCCGCCCCCACATATACCACAATCTTTAAGGGTTGAGCACTTATAAGTCATTCTCTTAGCATCATAAAGCCAATAATCCTTAAATCTCTGATTTCTGGTCTAATATGTGGTTTCAGAGCAATGTCGACCTCTCCACCATTAGATTGTCAACTGCCTCGTGTGAATAAGTTTGTCGGCGAAGTGTTCGGCGAATTCTCAAACAGTAGAACGATCTACGCTGGAAATGAAGAAGGTATTAAGATATTCAGATTTCTCTGAATACATTCTGACACGCAATGCTATGCTTCTATTTATTATTCCATAATTTAAAACTACTTAAAAAAAGCTCAAAAGAATTCTACTAATTGTCTTAAGATTAGACTGTCAGAGTCTACACCAACCTCTTGTCAGCTTAGTCATGTAGACATTATTCACAAAGTTCATCGGAAAAGCGCCCTGATGAATGAACTCCATTGCTTTCCAAATCCATTGGTATTAATAGCGCCGGGCCAGCCAAGTCTCCTTCCTTTCCTTTAGGATCACCAGTTTTGTACTAAGCTTGTGTAAAAAAATTGGTCTCCAATCCATTACGGTCGGAGATCGTGCATGGTGAAAGCTTGTGAAGACTCCATTAGAGCGACCCAGCATACTAGCCGTGGTCAATTCCTCGAGAAGCACTAGCCATGAAAAAGAAAAACTTCTCCGGTAAAGCAATGCATTCCCATATCCGAAGACCTTCTTGGATTACAGAAGCGAGACAACGAACCGAACGAAGTTAGTGCTAGGATCCGCACAATATTTCACTTGTGCACAGGCGAAAAAAAGATTGAGAATAGCCTAAATTTTCTTTAGTGATCTAAACTCCTGTCTGGTAGTTGTACAGTATATTTTCCTTTTTCATCATGTGATTTTTCATAAAATTTAGACACCGTCAAAAGAGACACCAGAGTTATCCTTCTTATTGGTCCAAGTGCGGCTGCCAAATCATCACTTATTGATTTCTTTTGCAATTACTTCTATGGTGCAGAACTGGACCAGATAACACGATATCACATAGCAGACGAGGTAGTACACTTTCAAACTTCTCACTCTAGACAAAACTCTTTCCTCTTTGCTTGCGATTTAACCTATTTATTGGTGGCCTTTGAATGACTGTAGTTCTCGTTTAATATACAATAGAACAACAAAGTATATAACCACAATATTGCTGGGATATTTGCAAAACTCCGGACCACAGGTTTCTGCGGTGGGGAGCGACCGCGCTATTACGCTTTCCGGGAGCTAACGAGTTCACCACCATATCTTGCGGGTCCTTCGTCTTGCCTCTTTCTCATCTAGTTCTACCGATCGGTGCCATCAATCGCCCGCCAACGGGATTGATCTGGGGTGCCCACATCGGCATTGAACCCAGTTAAACTGAGGCTGTAGTTGTATTCGCAATGTTTACTTTTTATTTTCTGCCTACTATAATTTTTATGACAGGGTATTAATCGAAATACAGCTACAGTATTGCTGAGATATTTCCAAAATTCCGGACCGCAGGTGTCTGTAGTGGAGAAGAACGAACGCGTTATTACCCTTTACGGCGGCTAATGTGTTCACCACCACACCATACGGGTACTTCGTTTCGCCTGCCTCGCAGCACAAAGTATACATCATCAGTACTGATTACTACCTTTGAGTGTCTCACACTATTTGTCGAATCACAGAATCGAGTCTTTGGAATGCAGTAACCAACGATAAGCGTGTTGCCCTTCAGCCTTTAAATGCCAATTGTCCACTCACTGAAATTTTAAGCTAGTTAACTACTTTGTGCAGAGAATCACAACGACTAAAATAGGATCGCCGACCTACAAAGTTTTACAGAAGTTCGACAAAACAACACCAGATAAAGAGATAATTACCTACATATTCAACGATTCTGTGATGGATGTGAGACCAGTGTTGATTGACACTCCACCAACAAGTGGACCTCAGTGAGAGCTAGGCAACTCTTAACTGTAAAACCATATTTGTTACAAGCCCTCTATGTTTCAGCTGTGAGGAACATTGTGAAAATCTCTCTCAGTGGCTGAAGGAGAACGAAAATCTGGAGGTAGATGTAATCGGTGTAGTGTTCTCCGTCTTCCATAGAATCACCAGCGCTGAGGAAGAAGGTTTACAAAAGGTGATTCGTCTTTTCATTTTGATATCAACGACATTTATTAATTTTTATCTAAATGTATCTTAAGTCTCTTGAATTATTTCCACCGCATTTACGACAGAAGTGTGTCGTATTTATGGTTGGCAGTGATGGGTCATCACCTGCTGTCGGAGTGCTTCGCAGGTATTTTTTATATTTATTCAAATGGCCTAGCAAAACTGTCGCTGAAGTTGAAAACGACATTATTTTAGACAATTCTAGTTCCAGATAAAAGTAGATTATTGAAGGTTCAATCTCGAGAGAGCCGATGTCTACAAAGTGAACACTTCCTGCATTTTCCAACGGCCAGAAGGTTTCATTTCACTAGCAATTTCCTAAAAAAAAATGATAAATGTTACCCTATAAAATTACTCTCACCTTGAAAATGAGTGTTATTTCAGATGATCCACTACAGGAGCATTTGCGTGGGAACTATTGGCGCATGAGCCTTGCCAACTTCAGCGCGCTATTCTCCCGTTTAAAATATGACAGACCGGTCACTTACTCTTCTGGCCAGCGTCATACTGCATCGTCTGCGATTTTAACGAATTCTGGAACATCACCTGCTTCGTCACGAAATTCCCTCGACACCATTATTCGTCGTTTTCCTGGTCTGAGCGCTACAGAGCCGCACACTACCACTATGACGACAACGAATCGCTCTTACGCAAGTAACCTAAGCAAATCTCAAAAAGATGCTCTACCGTGTGCTCTTAACAAAGCTGTAATGGAGCCAGAATTCGAAAGATATAGTGGAAGCACAAGACCACTCGAAAAAACGCATATGACTTCGGTTTTCGAGCAGATTTACATTGTACCGGAGGCTCCAAATATTCGGGATGCGGAGTTGAACCAACGTCCAGCAGCCATAAGTACTTCAACAGAGTTGAACACCGATATTTCTCGTGTAAGTTGACAATATTAATTCTTAATCTTAGTTCGTTATAGCTTTCCCCGTTTTGTGTTTCGTATATTTAAACCATAATAAAAATCAGTTTCATTGCCATACTGTTGTGATTAGTGGTTGCTAGAAAATGAGTGGCTCGGTTATCAGCGGCGCTGTAGCTCTATGAGAAAAAAACACTCAGCAATATCAGTTTAATTATCTATGCGTTTCTATTTAATGGCCCATAAGTTTCAATTTAAAATAGCATTTCTGTAAAAAAAAGCTCTATCCTCTGTTTTCAGAGTGTGTGTAGGTTCTTTGATTTTCACTGCATTCAAGCATCAGTTACTGTCACTGATTAGTGCTACCGTAGTCCTCGATATTCAGGCATCACACTACTTCATATATGGAAACTACAAAAAATAAATTTTAGGTTACAACCCATGGCGTAAGCACTACATCTGCCTTGACGAAATCAGGTGAAAATACAACACTGTTATCAACGGAACGTGGAAGAATTTTCAGCAATACTTCTCCTAACAATACTTTAAAACTGCACGATGGCAGCGCCACAAGGTATCGTTTATGGTCGTTGTTCTGGAACTTCATTCGAGAGAAAACGGAAGTACTAAGTGTGTCGTCAATATTTCATTTTCCTACATTTTTGAACTTTGAAGTACCTCGCATCAATCAGTGTTGGAAACTTTTGATTCATCTTATTGTCATATGTCGCATTTCTCGATTATCCGATGAAATGGCATTCATTAAACCATTTATTAAGCAAGTATTTAGGTACGTCTGCGATATTTCTACTCGTACACACATGCTTTACCATAATGATCCAATCACATATCAAAAAAGCATTGGGTTGGTTTGTATGCCCGTTCCAATAGTTGTTATAACGTATCGAATCAATTTTCTTCTTTAGCGATTCATCAAGGACGGTACGTGAAACAACGATCAATGATCCTTACTACGATGTGTTTGGAGCTCGCAAAGAAACGTTAACTTCTACTCGACATTCGTGGCACGAAATACTGCCTATTCATCGCACAGACATCACGACCAACGAAAGTCAACGTAGTAAAATACCTGTGGAAACTCTTATTGACTTCCGATCTCCTGTCGAACATTCAAAAAAATTTGAATACTATGGTTCACTTCGAAATGATCGTCATGTTTCTGGAAGCCGCTCTCGATCAGTAGAGCCACAATTTGTGGCTCATCCAGCTCAAGCAGGACAAACTGTTTCAACAGGAAATATTCTTCCTGATATTAGTGAGCGCTTCGAAAGAAAAACCTATAATGGTGCAGTCGATATGCGCAAGAGTGCAGTTCTCTCATTTGGAGGTAGAGAAAACAGCCAGTGTCCACCTCTTTACACCTCTAGCACAGGTAGAAGCATCCTAGAGAGAGAACGTGCTGTGCAACCCCACGTTCCAGATTATAAAAACAGTGGAAGGGCTCCACTCCCGTCATATTCAGCTATTGTGAGAGCTCGTTCATGTGAACCTAATGATTCAGAAAGGAGTGTTGTTACCGGAGAATTGGAAATGAGGAGACGAAAAGAGATGCCCAATGAATATTCTGTGTAAGACATAAATATTTTGCTTCATACTATTAATAATACGACGAAATGAATGAGGAACGAATATCGTCATGATTAAATTACAGAAGTAGTTGCAAGTGATTGCGCAGAATTTGGTAAATACTATAATAACAGTGGGGGTTCAGAAACAATTTGGAGACCGATTAAGTAGTAACTATTGAAAATACAGCAGCGTATTTCTTTACTTTGTTTCGCTTTCATTAGGAAAAATGTGAGTTCGAAAAATTTTAACTGGTGCTAGTTATCGAATATTTGTTTCAGAAAAGCCAAAAGTGATGCAGGACAAGTTCTCTATTTGGACAGAAGATCTCAACAGCAAGCCAATACATCGAGTTCTATACGACAATACGATCAGCCTCCCCTTGAACGTTTGTTTCAACCATTTTTCCATCAAAAGCGAACCTATCCTCCTATATAAGAAAAAATACATGAGCTACTGCTGAAAACCTAATTAAAAATTGCATACCTGTCTCCACATTAAAAAAGAACTTGTTTGCATCCCAATGCTTCATCGTCTTTGTTGTACATTTCAAGCCGGTCCTTAAGTGGAACAACCCTAGATGACTGAGTGCTAACAAAAAGTGATCCTGTACTGAGACATACACGAATTCAGCACCGGTCCTGCTGTCCCGAACTGAAGCACATCTAAGATGCGTTGGCAGAAATGTTCACACACGTGTGCATGGGTGTACTTGTGTACACGGACACAAAGGTCTTGCCCGCTGAGTAAATGAACAAACTTCATGAGTTATACGAAGTAAAATTATGCAACCAGAACTTATTACATTGCATTGATATTGTCATCGACGTAAACAGAGGAGTTCCAAAAAAGAAAACCATCCCACTGACACTTCAGCAAGAACGTTACAAAATAGCTTTCCTATTTAAAGACTTGAATCATCAGCCACCAGCATAATTTTCATTTTAATGATAAATTGCTGGTAGCTCTCCATTCCATAGAGTCCGAAGGGTAATAATGGAGCTTTATCATTTAATGATGCTGAGATATTTGCAAAACTCCGGACCGCAGGTGTCTGCGGTGGGGAACGAACGCGCTATTGTCCTTTCCGGGGAGTAACGCGTTCACCACTACATCACGCGGGTCCTTCGTTTCGCCGTCTCACAGCTCATTTTATCATTTAATCATCACTCCCAGCTAATGCCTACTTTGTTACCGGAGGGCTGCGAATTCTGGAACTCATCTGCACTTAGCTGGGCTACCACATGGAAATATTGTGTTTCTTCTCGGCTTGGAAAACTCGGCTGGGGATCGATAGAATGCCATAAATAATAATAAAAAGGATAAAGCTCTCGGAGTTGATCAATCCCTGTGGGATGCATCATGCATTCGACTTCATTAAGCATTGTTTGGAGATGATTGAATGGATACCTGGCCATTACAATGACTCGCGGCGGCCTACCGACGTATCGATCCAGCAGTGCTATCTTCGCAGACACATTTTTTACAAATTTGCCAACCCCGGAGGAATGAAAGACTTAGTGAGCCATGGGCGAGGGGATCAATTCCACGTGTGTGTTGCAGGGCACCTCTGACCACTGCGCCACACGCATCCATAGAATGCCATATGCAACAAAAGGTAGATATTGGCATGAAGAGAGAGTTGATGGCTAGAATTGAAGTAATCGATAGAAGCTGCTAGCAAATGAAACCTACATTGTTCCAAGAACACGACAAAAACACATCGATCCGATACGAACATTGTTCATGGAATTCCTATATGAAATATATATATATATATATGTAAAATAATTCACAAAATAACGTAATCCCGCGTGTCATACCTTGTTTAGGTTAGCATTATCGGACTTGATGTCGCTTCACGAGCTCACCAAGACGTCCATCTTTCTGGTGTCGAAAGATTGCTACCACCGATATCCGAAAAAAAGAGTGATTTGAGATGCCGGTATAGAAAATCACAAGCCAATGCATAGGCCAGATATGCAATCAACCACCTACCTCTACGAAGTCCAATGAAGTCGAGTACGTGGCGCATCTCTCAGGGAATAATCAATGCGGGAAGCTCCTCCCTTTATCCACTTTGATCTGGGTGGAGCACTTTTTCTCTCTCTTTCTCAGACCTTCACATGTTAAAATCAATCATAAACAATTATTTTTTCTGGCTTTATCATGAAACATGTTCAGATACAGACAGAAATGCTCAAATCATCTCGAGAGCTAATCCAACGTTAACGCAAATGAACGAGAAACTTCATGTTGAGGTGCTTTAGTCTTCAAAAGAAAAAACAAAAAATTATTGTTGCTATTCATTTTTACTTCTTGCCTTCATTTTTTAAATTACCCTTTTTTATTTCAGTGCTAATATTCCATATTCTTGCGCCAAAATTTTCACACATACTCAGAGTAAAACTAGTAAAACTACTTTTCATTTCCTCTCAGCTGATCCCAACTTCTCTTCCAGATTTTGAAGAAGGCGAAATGCGCTGAAACATTACCTATTTCAGAAAATTATTAAATTAAGAACTTCGTGTCAACTCAAAAAGATGTGGTAACCTGCTGTTCTAGTATAACCTTGGACTTCAATTTTAGTTAACATAGAAAAAACATAGTTTTCTATTCTAATAGAAACTAAAAAGCTGAGGTCTAATTTATCGATAGTGCTAAATGTCAGTGTTCAGACTTCTTATTCACAGAGTCCAAACAACGCCACCGACTATGGCAATGATTGGGGTGACAAGACACCTGTTATCCGTGGAACTGATGAGGTTGCTTTTAGCTTTTGTTTTACTTTGGTTCAAAAAAATTACCTCTACTAACACGGTACTCGTCCTTATTAATATATGTTGACGTGTTAGGCATTAACAATATTCTCACAATGTAGTTAAAGTGCTTAACTACAAAGGTAAGCAATAACAATGAAAAAGATGCACCTCTACCACTTCCTTTTCTCCGTAATTTCGTGCAACCTTCAGGATCAACCGCTTCCTCAATTTCCGCTTCGCGGGAATCGTCGTTATCCTGATGAAGTTGAAATGGAGCCAACACAAGGGAAACTTGCATCGCTACCACTTCCTCCATGTAAGTACGACAACACTCAGAAACCTAAACCTGTTTTCATTGAGCTGTGAACAAAAATTAGTAGTTTACATTATCTGCTTCACCATGTTCCAATGGGTTGGCGACTTACTACGTTGAAAAACTTCTTGAGAGGATAGGATTACAACATGAAGACTAAGGACGCATATGCCAAGAAAGACCACATAAACTGGGAAGGAATTCAACGTTGTCATATTACCTAGAAAAGACCTCAAAATCTCAAGGCAAACAAAAGGAAGCCTTCGCAGGAACACTTGGAACTCCGTAGGCGGCGCGATGGCATAACTGGCCAAAGATGACTGAAGATGTGCGCCTCTACGTCAGGAAGTCTACACTACAGACGACGATCTCCAGAGGTGAACAGGAGAAGCCTGCGGATTGTGGCGTGTGCAAAAAGTACCCTGTATCTGAGGACGCAAATGAGCAACACCTGGTTCCGCCTCGACTTCTAACTTCACCATTCCCTCTGCTTCAAAATTTCATCAAAATCTGTGATTCATGTGGTATATTCGATTTATGCGAAAAGAAAAGAAATATTTTTTCATGGATTTTGGCTCTAAAGATGGCTTCTTTCACCAAATACGTTATTACATTACGTAGTCAGAGAATCCATAGGTGCCATCAAAGAACTTAGCTAATAGAAGAATTACGAACTAATTTTAGTAAAAAGGTAGCCACGTGTTGCTCTTTAATATTTGCCATGGCATAGGTCTCTCTCTAAATGGGTTTCCTGGTGGAAATACTGAATTCTGTTTTAGCCATGGCTACCCTCCTGGGGAATAAACCTCCGATATGCGTTCTGTTTTGACACCCAGTACCACCAGAAAACCATGAGGTGTAACATCGCGTAGGAGAATATTATTGATAGTAATTAGGCGAGAGTAATGCTGGTGAGTGAGTGTAGCCAAACATAGCACTGAAGAAGCAGCATAACGACAATGTACTAATCCCAGTTCTGCTCCGCGGATTAAGAACTGCCCATCTTCTGACAGAAAATTCGTGTTAATATGATTTGATACCATTTCTCTACTAATCAAAAACTCTGTTATTGGGTGCCGTTTAGGAATCCTTTCGGAAAGTAGTAGTCCTCATTTGCTGATCTCTAAAATGGATAAAACTTGATTTAGATGCTTATCGACCAACGCTACCATCTCGTCAGCCCTCTCCAGAGCAAATTCTTCGTGGAGGCGAGAGTTGACATATTACATCGATTTCTTCGTACAAACAAAAACGTAAAAAACGCTTATAGTATGAGTACGTATAAAGGGGAAGGGGTAAGGTGGAGAAAGTGCACCGTATCCTATGCATTTATTTTTCAGTGGTCTATTTTCATACAGAGAGTGTTTCCACTTTTCGTACTAAATTGATAGCTTGTCCAAAACAGACGTTATTTCATATATCCAGTAATTTGCAAAGAATTTTCTTCTGGACACGTTCACTAACCAGTAATTTTACTGGAAATTGGTTATTATTTCAATCCTAATCATTGTGATAAACCATGGTTATCTTGTGGAATGGAGTTTATAACAGAAACAGACATGGACACAACATAAACTTCAGAAAACCTATAAATGCTTCAGCAATGTGGTTGAGCGCGGGTAGTTCTACTAATTAGTAAGTAGTAGCATACATAACATGCAACCCTCTTGAGCGATTGAACGGAACTTCTCGCGTAATCTTATCATATTTCCAACCTCAAAAGACCTCTAGTTATTGAAAACTTAAATATTAGTTGTAAAATTAGGTGATGTTAGGTTAGTGTTGTGAGTTAAACAAATTTTTAATGACTTTAATGTCCTGGAGATTGCCACTGTATCAACGTCCTTTTCAGCAGAAATTGTTGAGTTTGCTACTCTACAAAGCAAAAAAAAATTCTATTAAGTAAAAGTCATCACTTTTCAAATTCTACCTGGTAAAAAGCGCTTGAGAAATTCGGATGATGTAGTTTCAAACCCAATTCTCCGCTCCACTCATTTAAAACTTTAAATTACACATAATAAATACCAATACCAGGCTCCACCACCGTCCTGGTATAAAATTAGTCACATGGTGGCAAATCTCTCTCTGATCCACAAGGACGGCGACCGCCTGTGGTGATGACGACCTGGGGCAGACTTTGGTCAGGCTGATCTCGGGACTCCTAGTACCTACAATGGCTAAACCAGCGAAACTTCGAAAAATGGATATTGTGCTGGTGCCCGCACAATCAGTTATGACGGGCCATCTAAGTATCCAAGTAAGTAAAATTACACATATCCATTCATCACAGCAGGACACCTTACCGATAAAAGACAGCATTTCAAACCTTACTTCCCAGTTTTGTTTCGCTTTAATTTCTTCTCCAAATGAATACACGAAAAGTGAAATGGAAATTCTATCTGATCATTATCAACAAAACAAAATGATGAGACTGATCTCATCCTGGAAACGAAAGTAAAATTTTGGATTACAGTAAAACCTTGTAATCTGATCCTTAACCAGCCAGCAGGTACAACTCCACTATCATGTTGGTGTGCACCTAAACGGAATGAGAACTGTGAGTGCCAGTTGAGCTCTAACCACCAAAATATTTTTGATCAATATGGAATCTCTACTCAAAAATATCAATGGGAAAAAGATTACTTGTCTCGGAGATGGTCACGTTTTATATCGAAAATGTCTGGCTTTAATCTTAAACAATTTCGATTTTTAAAGCTTTGAACGGAAATAGAAACAACGAAATTATAAACATATTTGAACAAATGTAGTACTCTTTAAAGTTCAAAACACGATAAGGTGATCTTAAGAACTGGTTCCAGTTTGTTTGTATTTTAAAATGCTAATCAATAAAGCTGGACACTACGTAGACTATTCGATAGATATCCTACCCAATTTTTCGAGTTTCTACATTGACTTTGGAAATAGAAATGATTGGGGATCGGTTCAGTTTGATTCCAAACACGTTTTTTTCGATTAATAGTTTTATGGCTGTCATCCAGAAATGTACAAGAATGGTTGTTGATCAGTCTGTGAAAACCTAGTTTTTGATTTCAGATATAGAATGTGGCGGCGGAGAAGTACGTCTCTTAAAAGATGCACAAGCTCCAAAAGTGAAAACAAAGAAGATGATAACCAGCACAGCTAGGTGATATTTTCATAAAAAGCAACTAATTCGCTACATCGTCCTGATGTTTCTTGACGAGTTGATCTGCTACTTTTCTCTGTTAACTAAATTAAACAGGTGTTTTTAGCATCGTGGGTAAAGGTGTCCTGCAATATTTTCATTGTCGTCGACTTGATTTTGCGCACTGGTCCAACCGAGTCAACATCCCTAAGACAAAACGGTGTTAGACCTGTTTGGCAAAAGCCTCCATCCGTTCCAAGAACTCTCTACTACTTATGAGAAAGACTTGGGAACATCCTAGGACAGCTATGCGAGGATGGCCGAAGCATAGGAAAACCCGTAGACTTTCGAGGACGACTAATGCGAAGCAAGCCATTGGAATAGGGCTGGGATTCCCAAATATATGAATAGCAGAAGTGAAACATTACACCATAAGGAAGTCACAAGCATTTGGTAGAATAAATAATCTTTTCTCAATAGACGTTTCCAAGAAGAAAGCTTTGTGATAAAAACTCCTCAAATTCATCAGCTTTCGGGAAAGTCCTTCTTATTTCTTCAGCTGTTCGTGTTTCTCTTTCAGCATCCCACATCATCGACCACGTCACATTAGTTTTCTCAAATGGACACCGGCAAACTGTTCAAATCCGCGAGACTGCTGCCTTAATTGTTTATTTTTCTTCATAGCACCTTTAGTTGTGTTATTCATTGTTCTAGCCATTATTATCACACTAATTGTTGGTTAAGCACAAAAAGCTCCATTATTGCAGCATCTTATAAATGAGATATATCATATCATAGCTGACACTATTGTTCATTTTCCATTATGCTATATCGGTATAAAAAAAAGAGTATCATCTACGCCCATACGTAAGTTTTAAAGAAAAACCTCTATCAAGTTTTATTATACAGACATAAAAAAAACGAAGTCAAACTTTCCCGTGGAATACACTTGTGGTTGCTCGTTCGACTCAGCCATGGGTAGAACAAGCGTTCCACTCATCCGAAGTCGGGAAATTGACATCGGAGTTTTCTTTGTAAAGCTCCTTCTGAGCCACAGAGTTTCGCGACTGGCTGTGGTGTGAACAATTAAGAATCCTCCAGCCGTTTTATCTCAGGACTCCAGACAGAACCATTTCGACCAGAATTAAGCGATATTTATGAAGAACGTCTTCTATCCATTTCTCTTACATTTCCATCCATAGCCATTTCTAACTACACCAAATTTACTTTCTTTAGTTATTTATTTATAAAACCCATTCTTACGAGTGGAGCGCATCCCAGAACGCGTATCTCATTCGGTTCGTTATCTTATATCCGCTATTCATGACGTTTTCCCTTCGGATATGGGTGTGGGTTCGAGAGAAATCCGCAAAACAAGGACGTCAAGTGCTAAATCTTTTCCTGCCATGATTTGGACATCGGATAAAACCCGAATGTAGAGATCAAGAACTCCTTTTCAAAGCCCTTCATAACTATAATCACTACTAGTTCCGTAAAGCGACTTTCATTTAGCTTCTGCATGTTACAAAAATGAAAATAAATGAAGTGTGAGGAAAACAAGTGCGTTCTTAACGTTCGAGCTGCGTCTCCGCCACCATGGGCCTCTATGAGCGCCACGGATTATGCCGTCAGGAATACAATCGGCATGTACAACATCAAATCGGATATCACTTTTCAGAACGTCGAAACACATCCGAATTCGTGATTCAGTGGCTCACATTCATAAGACGAAGCACAGACGGAGTACTAAGGAGTTAGAAAGGTTCAAAGGCAAACAAATGGACAAAAGGTTACGGTAGATTGAACTCGATGAGCTCGCCGACGTCTCTAGAGAGAACTCCTAAAGGATAGGTGGAAGTGTTTCCGCTCATGTCAAGGCGTTAGGACAACAGCTGGATAGAACTCTTCGATCAGGCAGACACAAAGAGACGTCATCATGGACGAAACAAACCATCTCCACGAATAACGACTACAAGGATACGAAAGGAACAGCATGGATATCACTGAACAAATCCTCATTCTAACAATACCATTACGTTCCCCGTCATAGCTTAAATACCGCTCCTATTGAGTATTGCTTCAATTGTCATCACTTTTCGAAAAAAAAAAGAAACTCCACATACCATAAGATAAAGTAAACAGAAAAAAAAGAATAGACGAAGGAAAAAGTTTGAAGAAGCGTTAAGAATGATTTTGGGAAAAGGAAACACAGGTTGAAACACAAACAGAAGCACATTTTTGGTCGGCAGATTTTCTCATTCCTTTCTTATATGTAAAGCAAGTTGTATTCCAGGCTTATTTAGTCACTAAATAAGGTAAAATGTAATTATGTAGTATACGATTGCAAATGCTGCACTGACGAATTGCAGCTTCCGCGCTCTATTCCTAAACATTTCATTGTAGTACAAATTTGTCGATTAGGGCTAGTTATTCCCCGTGCACGATTTTCGCTTGGATTCGTTTTCTATTTCGTGTTTATTGCTGTTCTTCCGCATCTAATGGTTTTCTAAAATTATCGACTTTAGAAGTGTTTCATCCTAGAAAGTGTCTTACCGTCACCACAGTTACGAAATCTCGTCCCTTCTTATTAAAATAATCCGAAGAAATGCTTATCACTTCATTGCTGTGATTTGCAGATTTGCTAGTGTGACGTTGTTATCAGGGTTTTTATACAGTATTACCTGACTCTATGTGGTTTCTTACCTAGCAATATCGTTTTCTACTTACGTTTTCGCTTTTCTCTTTCCAAGTTGGCATGTTCTTCGTCCTAGCATTTGTTCTAAGAGTTAAATTGTGCACGTTTTTCATTGATCAGATTCATTTTCAGTTATGAAGTCTCGTTTCACAATAATAGATGTTTCCGCTGCTGTGAACGATGTAAAGAGTCTGGAAGGTGCTCGAATTATCAATGTCTACGATATCAATCACAAGACGTACATAATGAAGTTATCTAGGTAGGTGCTCTATCGATCTTCGATTAAATCTAACATTTAAACTTTGTCTTAGTGCAAAAGAGAAGTTTCTTCTATTGTTCGAGTCTGGAATTCGTATTCATCGTGCTTATCACGACTATCAGAAGTCTTCATTTCCCTCCAACTTCAGTGTGAAACTGCGCAAGCATCTGAATAACCGGAGGTTAGTTTTTCTATCATGATGCTGAGATATTTGCAAAACTCTGTACCGCTGCTGTCTACGATGGGGATCGAACTCGCTATCACCTTTTCCGAGGGCTAACACGTCCTCCGCTACCTCGTGCGAGACCTTCTTTTCTTCTTTCTCTCGGCTGTGTTATTGGTTTCTTAGTTGTTGTAGGTAGCGATGTCATTGTTATTGGTTTGTTTTTCTCTTCTTGAACCCTGACATAGGCATTTTACTTGTAAATCGTGCTAGTTTGTTCGGAGTTACATCTTTATGTGATGTTTTTTCTCCAGTGCAATTGTTTAACGTTGAACTTTACTATCTGTTGTGAGATTATTTTCCAGGATTTTCAAGGTTAGTCAGCTAGGTATGGATCGTATAGTTGACTTGCAAGTTGATGAAGGTGAACGATGCTTCCATGTGATTGTAGAACTCTACGACAGGTCTTTGGTTTCGTGGACTTTATTCCAAATGTTTAAAAATTTTATGAAACTTTATGTTATGGTATTCCTTTAGGGGTAATATCGTCCTTACCGATTCGTCTTATACCATTCTGAACATACTTCGCCCTCGTTCGGAAAAGGATACGGATGTGAGATTGGTCGTGAAGGAGAGGTAATCGATGGTTGATGTCGAACAAGAGATATTGTCGTTATTTGTACTTTTCAGATACCCGTTGCCGACTCCTCGAATGCTCCCTCCAACGCCGTCCGTTGAGGAGATGACATCGATCTTGACGTATGCCACTATTTGTCAATCTGTTGTGCTTTCTGGAGTTCTTAAGTTATTTTCTTTTCTCTAGTTTTTTCTCTGTTTTCTAGGGAATGCAGCCAAAATCTTCCTATAAAGCGTGCTATAATATCACCGGGTACTTATAGCGGCCCGTTGATTGAACACGTTCTAATTCTCGAACAGCTGGATCCGGATCTTGAGGTACAACTATCTTACATATTGTTCGGCATTCGACTTTGAGAACCATAGCCTTATTTACGTAGTAAATCTTAGTGACTAATAAGGTTTATGGGTTCCGTTTCCATATCCACACCTTTACCTGGATACTTGGTTACTTGAATTGCCCGTCCTCACTGGGCTTTTATGAGGTATAAAACTGTCCAGGTGTTTCGTTACTGTTTTTATTGATGAATTGGCAGGTTAATGTTGTGGCAAACATTGACAGCATTGCTTCCCATGTGGTAGACGCCCTAAGAAATGCTGCAGCAATCACTGAATCAATCAGAAGTAGTCGTTGTCACGGATTCATCACATATAAGTTAGAGAAACGTAGCGACGGTAGTGATGTCGAGACCTTTCTGGTATGATTTTAGTATGGTTCAAATTGAAATCCTCTATAAAACGCCATTTATCAGGATTATCATCCGTATTTGTTTCAACAACATGAGAGAGGTCTCTATAGAAAGTTCGAATCTTTCTCTGAGGCTGTTGACGTCTTCTATGCTGCGCAGGACGCTCAAAAACAGGTGTAATTTGCGGCTTAATTTATTCTCCATTCATTTAATGAGAAATGTTTTAGCAACAAGCTGCTCTCAGAGTGGAGAAAGAAGCGATGAAGAAGCTTGAGAATGTTAAGAAAGACCAGTTTCGCCGGATCGTGGAGCTTGAGGATAGTCGTGATATGAATATGAAAATGGCCAATCTTATAATATTCAACCAGGTGAGCGTTAAAATCCATAGCGTTGTCTTCAAGAAAAGTTTCAATTATTATTTCAGGACCTTGTAGACTCCGCCGTAAACATCATTTCTAAGGCGATTGCCCAGAAAGCTAGCTGGGGTCAAATAAAAGAGATGCACTGTAAGGCGGTTAAAAATGGTGATCCGGTTGCTAAGTAGGTTGAGGAGATTACGGGTTTCCTAAACACTCAAAGTCTTATTTCGGATGTAATTTTGGATTTTAGTTGAACATGAATATGCCTAACCTCTCTATACCGATATCCGTAAAGTTAGAACAATTTGTTATGTTTATTTAAAACTAAATCTGCTTGCCGAAAGCTATCGCGTTTTCCACCACACTATGCGGCTTATGTGTTGGTGAACGCGTCATCTGGAAGGAGTAACAGCGTGTTCGATCCTCGCCGCAGTCACCTGCGGTCTAGGGTCTTGCGAATATCTCAGAATCATTACGGTTTTATTTCACATAAAACCTTGCCATGAAAAGTTATAGTAACCATTAGATAAAAAAGTTAACATTTTAAATCTACTTGTTTTTGCGATCTTAGCAAAATCGTGAATTCTATAGGTTTCTCTTTTTTTGCCTTCGTACACTAAATTGCTGTTTGCAGCTCATATCATTTCTCTGTGTGGTGATTTAGTACTTTTCAGATCTATCGTGAGCTTAAACCTTGGAAATAATAAAATTTTGATGCGTTTGAGCGACGAGGAATCAAATTCGTAAGTCACAACAGGGTAATAATTGTGTTAATGTTTGCGTGTAAGCGTCATTCCAGATGGGATGTTCCAATTGATGTTGGTATGACTGCATTCAGTAATTCGCGTGAGCTTTACCAATGTATGAAGGCTGCCGCTGAGAAGGTTTGTAAGAATTCTCTGTTGAATTGTTCCATTAAGAATGTTACTACAGATAGTGCGCACAAAAGCAGCTGCTAATAAAGCCATCAAGAACTCCGAGGCCAAAACACATAATGTTATAAAGGAGGTGATAGTAACCGCTATCTCCTAATAGGTCTAGGTTTTGATTTTAATGACTGAATTGCACAGGTTCATTCACGTGTGGATACTGCATGGGTTCGGAAGAAAATGTGGTTTGAGGAGTTCATTTGGTTTATTTCGTCTGAGAATTACATGGTCATTGTTGGACGAGATGCTGATCAGAACGAACTACTTGTCAAAAGGTATAAATTGTGGTATGTGAACTCGTCAGATATGGAGGTTTTCTGCGTGGGTGGATTTGCAGGACAATATTGATTTACTTAGATACCTTCGACCAGGAGACATTTATGTCCATGCCGACGCCCATGGCGCTGCTTCCGTCGTCATTAGGTATCGAATTTGTAATTCATTGTTGCCTTATTCTCGAATCCTTAACAGTAAGAGCTCAACGACTGACCAATTTCTTAAATGCGCGTGTTTGCTCATTTAATAAATTTTTTGATTTATTTCTGTCATTATACATTAAATTAGGCTTGTTTTGAAGAACATGCTCTGTTTTCTGTTTAATATACTGCAATGATGGATACATGTTGCGCAGTGGTCACGGGCGCCCTACAATACTTATGGGATCGATCCCCGCATCCAAGGCTCACCAAGCCTTCATCTCGGGGTTAGGAAATCTATACTAAGCTTGTCTGGGAGGATAGCAGCAGTGGCTTGATACATCGGTAGGCCACCGCGAGTGAGCGCTAGATGTGCATTCAGTCACCTCCAACGATGCTTAATGAAGTCAAATGCATGGCGCCCTCAGAAACTGATTAACGCCGAAAGCTTTATCTTTTATATTTCTATTTAGAAATGTAAAATATGCTTTATCGCACTCCTTACATTGTTCTATACGGTTTGATTGCTGATTATTATGATATATTAATCAGAAACAAGAAAGGAGGTGGTCAAATTCCTCCTAAAACCATGACGGAAGCTGCACAAATGGCTGTTTGTTCTTCAAGTTCATGGAGTTCCCACATTGTTTCAGCTGCATGGTGGGTGTATGACCACCAGGTGAGGTTATCTACTTTTTCGTTCTATTATTAGTATTTTGCTCTATCATTAAAGGTATCAAAAGTTGCTCCTTCTGGTGAGTATCTTGTCCATGGAAGCTTTATGATTAGAGGGAAGAAAAATTTCATGCCTCGTAGTCCACTTCAGCTTGGTTTTGGGATTTTATTTCGTGTCGATGAGGTCAGTGTCACTAACAGGAGGCAGCAAACACTGGTAATTTTTTAAGTTCTGATACGTTTTACTGTATAGAACATGTATGATTGCAATTTTCTATTTTGGGACGTATACCCTCCGCCCTGTGGAGCTGAACGTAAAAGTGTTGAAGAGGAGAGGGTAAACGTAGAAGAAGAGGTGGAAAACAAAGACGTTTCCAAGCATCTTCTTTCGGCTAATGGTGATGATGGTGAGGGCTACCCCGACATACAGGTAAGTTTTCTCTTCTTTTTTATATGGTTCCGAAGTGTATTTGTTTCAGCTTGACATCCCAATTATTCGCGGTCACGTCGACTCTTCAAAAGACTACTCCGTGATTAGTTTTGGTACGAATGCTCATGTTAAGAAAAACGCGCCAACTAAGGATAAGGAAACGAAACAGTACTTGGAAAAAAAGATCGAAGAAGAACGCAAGGTTCTTGGTCGTTTATAGACGATCTTATTTTGAGGGTCAATATTGGAATTTCTAGGCGAATGCTGCTAAGAAAGCTAAGAATATTCGGAAGCATAAAATGGATAAAATTCGCAGAAAGTATCGTGATCAAGATGATGAAGAGCGTGAAATGCGGCTTGCTGCGATTGGAGCCAGAGGTATTATTGATAATTGTTGAAAATTTGTTGAGTTGTTTTCTTTTGTTGGTAGGGTAAAAAAGTTAAATAACTGGTCGCTTCAGGAAAAAACAAGGAGAAATCACTAAACAATACCAAGAAGCTAAACATGAGTGACAGAAGTATGATACATGGGCCGGTTAACGTATCAGTTGCGGAGGAAACAAGCAACAACAAAAACATCGTTGTTAACAACAATGAATTATTTCGTGAAACAGCAATTCATAAAATCGACGAACAGTTGGATATTGAACATGACAAGGTTGGTATTTAATACTATATTAAAGTAAATTCTTTGCTCTCACGTCTCATCTACAGAATATCAACGAAGATAGTTCTGGCAGGATTTTGGGACCTGATCTTTCGGCAGAAATGGCAAGCCTCCACTTGAAAGATGAGCACACTGGAGAAGAAGACCAAGCTGTTGATGATGACGAAGAATCGAAAGAGATAGCGGTTGCAGAAGATAGTGAAGGCTAGTGGAGATTAAAATTAACGATTTATGGATTGTTCTAATTGTTATGCCACTATTTAGGCCTTATATCGCAATTAGTCAGTAATCCTCTTCCTGACGACGTACTACTCTATGCTTTGACTATGGTTGGCCCGTATCAGGTAAGATTTTCTACATTCGTTCCATTCTAGTAGTCTTAGAAAATAGATTTAAGTTATATTTCCAGGCTTTTAGTAAGTTCAAGTACAAAGTTAAGATCACGCCAGGTACTTCTAAGAAAAACAAAGCGGGTAAAGCTGCTCTTGATCTATTTTTGGTGAGTGTGTTTCCCCAAAGAAGTCCGTAAAAGCACTTTTTACACCGAACATCACTTATTTCTTAGCACTAGGTACTCTTTTTCAGCGTGTGGAGCAAGGTGATCCTCGTGAAAAGGCACTAATACGCACCCTAGTTGGGAATGAAAACGCTTGCCGTAATATTCCTAAAGGATGTCGCATTCTCGCCCCTCAACTGTATGCTAAATGAGACTGAGCGCGTCAACTGCAGACACTTTCACTCATTCCTTAATAAGTATTGGCTAATACCTAATCCAATGGTTGTTTAGATCGTGAAAATCTATGAATAAGGTATTGATCTGGGTACCATTTCTCTTTCTATTCGTCTTCTGCTGATAAACGTTTTTCAAAAACTGGCAAGCTGTAAAAACTACAAAGAATGCCTCAAGTAATTCACCACTGAAATTTTCTTGTGCATTCGTCACATCATTATGACTGCTATAAAGAACATATGCTTCATATAATAAGGCGCGTGTGACGCAGTTGTCGGAGGCGCCTTACAACACACGCGTGGAATCGATCGTCACCCCTATGGCCCACCAAGCCTTCCGTCCTCACAGGGTTGGAAAATTGGTACCATACCTATCTAGGAGGATAGCAGCACTGAGTCGATACATCGGTAGGCCACCGGGAATCATTGTAAAGGCCAGATGTGCATTCAATCACCTCCAAGTGATGCTTAATGAAGTTGAATGCATGGCGCATCACTCGGATTGATGAAGGCCGAGAGCTTTATCCCTTTTTTATCTCCCCTAGTCGAAGTACAGTCGGTTAAATTTTCTCATACAAGCTATAAATGTACTGAAATATTCGCGTGAAAGATGACTTGTCGATGATAGGCGGTAGTTTCCCCATTAAAATAGTGGAGTTGAAGACTTTGAAGGCAATCTTTATAAAATATTCCTCCGATTTTAGATCTGTTAAGAGTTATAGCTTCCAAAAAATTTGAGACAAGTTTCAAGTGTTTAAAAATCTCTCAAGCAAGCGCAGCATATCGCAAGAACTAAGAATACATTTGGGAACACCGTCATGTTTTGTTGGACTGCGTCTTCAGTTGCGTTCGTGTTCAAAATACGAGCCTTCACGTGAAAGAAAAGAATGATATCATGGTTTCTGGGGTTTCTGGAGAACAAGGATTTCATTTTGGAGAAATGGGTATGTGTAGTTTGTAAGCAAAATGCTGTGGATCTTGTCCTAAGTTCACTTGGTGAAGTTCAATTCGAGTTGAGATGTGTTGATTTGACGTCAAATAGTCCGCATAATCGCGAATGGCTGTGTCTACGAGATCGTATGCTGTTTTGCGGAATTGCATGGCCTCTATAGTTGTGACATCTTCAGGCTGGGTAAAATGGCTTAACATTTAGTAATTGAATCTGAACATCGAACCCGATTAGAGTACTATGACGGGAACAAAAACCAACGTAAACTAATCTTCGTTTTCAATAATGCTTACAAACCTGCTAGCTCACATGCGAACTTTCGTCCCTTCGACCATATGTTAATGTACCGCCTATATTAATGTCAACTACTGAACGACTTGATCGACGAACTCGACGAAGAACCCATTCGTCTCCAAATCATACTAGAATTTCGCAGCACATTCTATTAACTTGTGAGATCTGACCACCAAGTCGATGATATGACGGCGCATATTCGACAGTTGTAAAAATTTATAATGAGTTAATTCCAATTGAATTTGGATATCTCGACGTATCCATCCAGCAGCATCCTCAATCTTCGATCAACGACTTGGGATGGAACATTGAACTCACTTTGTCATCTGCATCATGAAGCTGAATAGTACTAAAACCATGCCTTTGAAAGTTAGAGAACGAAATGCGTTAGAAAACGCTGGTCTCAACTTTGTTCCTCGTTCAGAATATGTTCCTCCTGTTCCCAATAAGTAATAGTCAAAATAACAACGTCTCATAATAGATTACAATAGTTTTGCGGATCCTTTATTGCCCAGTGTTTTCGAAACGGAGATATAGTTGACAAGAAAAGTTCACCTTCAAGTGTAGACACAGGCATTCTTATAACTATTCATTTTCTACGAATTAATAGATTGAACCAATAATCCTCGTAACAACATGTCATTTAAATCGCGTAAATTACATTTTACATAGTGATTTGACGACAAGGCATCAATACATGTTAATCTCAACATATAAATTTCGCAAGCAGGGGCTCCGAAATCCCTGACGTAAATATGAAGCCTCCGCGTACTACTGTAGATCTACGAGGTTGTTCGGTCCTCGAATGAGTTGTGTTCGCCGACGATAAATCCAAGTGTGAGGTATTTCTGATGATCGATGTAATCCTGACGCATACGATAATACGTTTAATTTCACACATAAGTAATAAATTCAAAATCGCTCACTCGAACTATTAGCGACTTCATAGTCTCGAGTTCTGTAACAACAATCTCCTTGCCCTCTTCACCAGTTGAGAACATCTTCGAAATAAAGCGTGCATTTTTACCCTTCAAAGTTTCTTGACATCCGTGCATGAGCTTCGAATAACATTCATCGAGAGTTCCTGTATCAGCATCTTGACGCCAGGTAATCTGAAGCTCTTAAAGGACTTAAAGAAACTGTGACTATTTTCGAATAATGTGCAAAGTTGTACCTGTAACTCTGGAAAAATTCTAGTACATATGCTGGGAACGAATGCAAGAACATTTATTCCTCTCGGTATTGTACAAGAAAGGATATCAAGTTTACGTAACATTGGTGCTGACTGCAATCGGTAAAACTCAGTAAAGCTTCAGCAACACTTCGTGTTTTAAACAAATATTGATAGAATACCTACTAGTAAGTCACGAGTGGCTGAGTTGCAACAAGGATTACAACAGTAATCTAAGACTATTTAGCTGGATGGCCCTCGTCATAAAAAAATCGGAGGCAGATGATAGGCATCGCGAAATGAACGCTGTCTAACAGTTCTAGGTTTGAAAGCTCAACTCACCATAGACAAATGCTTCAGAACATCAATGCTCACTACATCACATTCAACGAATTTACATTCACGCAACATCAGCAATTGTCCTGACACAATTAACGCTCGGAATAATATAACATCGGTGATGAATGAAGCCTGAATTTCCAGAGTTACTTCGAGACTAAGCAAATTACGACTGGAAACTATCCAAAAGGAGGACGCGAACATGAAAAAATAAAACACTTAGACGCATGGTTGTATGGTTGTATAATCATAAGAATGGTTGCACACCTCAAATTTGGTAACCACGTTGAAAAACGACGCTGGCGGTTCTAAATCTTCGAAAGGGGACCTAAGATGGCATCTTTTCTCAACAAAGACCGGAAGGAACTTGATTAGAATTTGAAAAAAAGGATGATTAATGAAACGAACAACTGTACTGTATCGGTGTGAAGCGATTCATTGTAGTTCTGTAAAATTGATAGGTATAGTCCAATACGTCTTCGTTCAAGCTCAGAGCAAATGCTACACACAGTGTCTATCGAGGTTCGGTTGCATAATACATTAAGAGATAAAACGCCTAGATTCCTGAAAATAATCACAACCTAATGACAAAATAGTAGGAAATTACTGAAAGTCATTTAATTCATTGACTTCCAATTATGGTTACTATGCGAGAAAAGAAAAATAGGGAGTAATCTCTTACTTATTGAAACCGAGGAAATCCTTAACGGATGCTTCGATATTACCGTAACAAAGATCGAACCTCAGCATTTTTAGATTCATCCCGATCTCATCACTGTGGAAATATAAAGGGCTTATCTTGCACATTCGAAGTGTCTGCAACCTCGTCGTAATATGAAGTTTTATTCCGAAATAAAAAAGATTCTTCAAGGTTTCTAAAGAGAAAAAAATAGATATAAGGAAGGAAAACTTCTTCGATTTCATATTCAATCTTGGCATACCTTATTCCACAATTTTCTGTTTTCTTTTCAATCACATGATAATTATTTGGTTATGGCGAGGATTTTTCCACAATCAATGCTGATATTCAGGGTGAACAAAGGATAAAGCTCTCGGCGTTGATCAATCCCTGAGAGATGTGCCATGCATTCGACTTCATTGAGCATCGCTGGAGGTGAATAAATGCATATCTGGCCTTTACAATACTTGCGGTGGCCTACCGATGTATCGAGCTAGTACTGTTATATTCTCGGACAAGTATGGCACCAATTTGTCGACCTCGGAGGGATGGAAGGCTTGGTGGGTCTGGAGGGAGGGGACCGATTCACGTGTATGTCGTAGGGCACCTCCGACCACTGCACCACACGCGACTTTTCTTAAAATATATGTATATACATGTACATATATATATATATATAACTTAGATATTACAGTGCTTTCCATGAAAAAACCCATGGATATGTTACTCAACTTAAGGAAATTAGATCTACTTCAGGTGTTTATTTTTCATATCGATTATTTTGTACGAAATTTCGAAGCGCACTGCAGGATTGCTAGAGGAACGTTACGAATTTCGAACAACTGTTGTTCAAGTGTAAAGATGCTGGAGCACCATTAAAGGAAAACATGCTCAAGATGTCGCAAAGACGATTAAGAGCCGTCGTACAAATCCCATGACTACAGCATTTGTAACTGATACTCGAAGAAGCGGTCGCTCTACCCATTCCGGTCACTCGGAAATAATGGAACTTTTTATTCATTGGCCACGAAAGTCGATTACGCAAGCAGCAAGGGAAAAAGTTATCGTATAATCTTTGAAGAAAGAAAGAATTCGCTCAAAGTGACTGTATGATGTGGAATGAAAGTGTTCCGAGCTTCCTCCTTCATAAACTCACGAATGAAGAAAGGTACATTACTGTCCCGTAAGTTGAAGTATGGCTAGCTATCAATAGGTGGGAGAATACTGATAATTTGACTTCAATGATGCTAAGATATTTACAAAACTCCGGAACGCAGGCAAAAGAAAGAGTAGGAAGAAAATAATAAGATAAAATTGTGACTATAACTACAGCCTCAGCTTAACTGGGTTCATTGCCGATTTGGGCTCCCAGCTGACGGGTTATTGCTGATGGCAGAAACCCATAAAAGTAGTTGAGAGAAAGGCAAAACGAAGGACCCGTATGGTGTGGTAGTTACTCTCCAGAAAGGACAATAGCGCGTTCGTTCCCCACCGTAGACACCTGCGGTCCGGAGTTTTCCAAATATTTCAGCATCACTGAAGTTATATTTCGCAATATAGCCTGCCATTAAAAAAGAATAGGCAGAAAATAATAAGTTAAAACTGATAATTTGATTCTCATAAACGATCACACTTTTTCACATTCTGCCATTGTTGTTCCTGAATACTATACATTATACTTCAATGGCCCGTCCTCACTGATTGTACAGGCCCCAGCAAAGTCCCCATTTTTCGGAAATTTGCTCGTTAAGCCATTGTGGCTCGCTGGAATCCCGAGATCAGCCTGGCCAAAGTCTGCTCCAGTACTGCACCACTAGAGGCAGTTACAGACCTTGTGGATCAGAGAGATTTGCCAACATGCGACCCTGATACCAGGACGATGGTGGACCCTGGTATTGGTTTACCCTTAGCTAGGCTTCCTGAAGAAAATGCCGGACTCCTCCTCAGCTTAGGAGACCCTGCCAGGAGATGAATCTTCAGCTGTACATCGCAGTCCGACACCCATGAACACCTCTCAGCCAGGATGGGGCGGTAAACCGTTGGGAGGTGTTCCTGAATAGCTAATGCCAACTTCTCTTAGGAGAGGTGGACCAGTTTTCGTGGTCCGTATGAGCAGTCGTTACATAATCCGCTCTAACATTTTTCTTCGGGTTGGTTAAGGGAGCAAGTCCACTCTAAGGAACCAACGACTTTGGACGGATCTGAAGAGCGAACATGAGAAGTTATGCTTTCCATCCCACAAGAGCTCGTGGTGAAATCCTTTCAATTGTTTCCCGGGTGGCTTCAAAAGCAGATGACCAATGCTCTTCCCATATACAATTCCAAGTAAAACTGCATGCCTTACGCCCCTTCCTCATAGTCGTTTCTCATGAAAATAATGCGTAGAAGACGAATTATAAGAATCTCAAAACAGGGAGCTATGTTTCACTTACCCTGTGCTTGCACCATAGGCCCACAAAAATATTGCTGAATGTTGGATGCGTTATCATATTTACAAATTAAATAACAATACGTTTTAATATAACGTCTAATAGCAGCACTCCAAACTCCGGATTACAAAAGAACTGCAAAAGTTTAGAAGAAAGTACTAAATATTTAAAATATGTAGAATATTTCGAAAGCTTCTGCTTGAAATTATTATAGTAACAATTACAACTGCAACAACAGATATCGACAAGTAATGAAAATCAAAGAGAATCTTACGAGAATTGTTAGCTTTGGAAGTTGCATGCTGTTCACGGCACGGACGAATGTTCTAAAATCGTTTGCATCCGACAAGTCTGCATGAGATAGCGTGAAATACTCGAGATTGGACAGATTTGCGAGCTTTGGCAAGAGGAAACGATAGTGGGTCTGCTCACGTTTTGAGAACTCTAACGACTTTATCGTACTAGGAAGTTGAAAGTCACCATCTGAAAAAGTCTCGACGTGATGTTGGGTCGACGATTCAAAAAAAGACAGGTACCTACCTACAGAGTAGTTGTCTAGAATAAGCGTAGTGAGCTTTGTAAAAGCTGGAAATGAGGGCAACTGAAGACCAGAAGAATGAAATTGATTTGAGTGTGGTCGCATGTTCAATGTCGTCAAATTTGGAATACGTTCGTGAAGATACGGTAGAATGTGCACATTCTCATATGGATAGATATCTATACACTTCACATCTAGCAAGTCAGCGACCAGATCTAAAGCCAAAGTTAAACGAATTCCACGAAATTATGTTACGTTCACTGCTCCTCCGAATTTTTTTCGGATTTTCATAAGCACAGATTCAACCCAACATTTATAAACAACTCAAGGACAGCAAATGAATCTAAAGATTGTTGCGAACAAGAAGCAAGTCTTCCTACTCTACCCAATTTCGATTTTTTGGACCATAAAAAGCTTTTTTCGCACTTTTACCTATGTAAACACCCTTGGATAAGCTGTTAACACATTACAGACGAAGCTTACATTCTGTCTTTAATGCGACGAGCTATATTTAACTTATGTAGGACTAACTTTAACTTAGTCTTAACTTTAACTTATGTATGTAGGACAAAAAACCCCTGCAAATGAGCTTCTTTTGCACTTCCTGCTCCGTAATTCGTTTTTTCGGTGTGATTTACTGGAGATTTCTGTTCTCCGTATCCATATGGTCTACGTTTCTCTCTTCATCTTTCCTCCTTTTAGAACATATATAATTTTTTGTGGAATGCAAGAACTCATCCACATTAACTAAACCGGTTTCAGTTTTTTAGTACGGTTTTTCAAATTATACGAAGCATATTTCGATAATTTTCAAGGTTTTTTATGTATGCCGATCCTATACAAGGGTTTTAAATCACTAAAGGAAATAGGATAGGAATAATATAACCTAGTGGCCAATAAATGAATTGTGTCGGCTTGAATCACGTCAGTGACAGACGAATTGAGCTTCCCATGTGTTACTATCAATAAAGGAAATGAAAAGCATCAGAGGAAGGACCAACAGATATAGACAAGAGTGGAACAGGTCACGGAAAGTAGGAGCGGGATCTCCAGTCTTTTGTAAAGTGTGTGTAGATGAATATATTCAAACAAGTAGACCATTGTGTGTCCGTATAAAAGAACATCTAGTAGGAAAACTTAAGGTAAGCCAAATACTCCATTACACTTGCACAGGATACAGAGGTGTAACGGGGAAAACCACGAAGTAGAAGTCACCATCTTCGCACAGGTATCTATAGCCCCAGCATGCGAAACCCTCGAAGCATTTCGGATAAGTTCCAGAAATCCAAAGCGAGTCGCAAGGAGGAGTGCCTTATGGTCAAAAGAGATCTCGTACCACATCTCAGGCTGATTTGTTGATCTGAGCTAGGAACATTCCTCACCATGTAAGACAGTGAGAATTTTCATCAAACTGCTGTAAGATTTGTAAAGAACAAAACGGTGAATGGTTAGAAGAAGCTGTCTGCCATGCAAACAAAAGCTTTTTATCTGTTCAGATCATGAAAGTGTTTCACTGAGTAACAGGATGTCAAATTGACCGTTCCAGGGTCTAAAAAAGGCGAAAGCGGCGAAACTTCTGTTATTGTGAACAAATATCGTAATAACAACTTTGCGTTTGGTCATATGAATAGATATGTACCAACTACATGAAACGTCTATTTACCCCGCCGTACATTTCAAACAATTTTAATATTTTTAGGTGATGAGAATGATATTTGTCCACTATTCAACCTCATTTCTGTTATCCTTTGTTGGTCAAATTCGCAGCATATTCGCTTTTACATATTCCACTGTAAAGCTGTACTGATCAGAGTAGAAGCAAAGGAAAGAATGCTTCCAGAACTATTTATTTATGAGATCTTATAAACTGATCTTCTTAAGCTGACGCGAGGTTGGTATAGATCTTCGTTGTCGTTGTCGTT